TATGGACTCACATTGGCAACTTTTTCATCATTTCCAAACCTTTATGTTTCCCTACATTGGATTCGGACCCAGTGGATTTTTTAAATTATCAACAATTTAAGGCCAAAATGCGCCATTTTACGAACTTTCGTATACCAGTAAGAAGTAAAGCATTTTAAACGAATTTGGTGGTAATTATTTGATAAAACACGTTTAACGCTTTAAAATGGCTATTTTTGAAGTTAATTTACTAATTTGTTGCTTAGAGAACTGTAAAAAACGTAAGAATGTTTAATTTTCAATAAATGTTAATTATTAACTATTGTAAAAAATGAGTTGCTTTAAAAGTTATTCAATTTGTTTATCTCAAACAAGTCTATTTTTTGCAATAACAGAAGTCCGAAAAAATTGAACTAATAATGATTGTACGGATAACATAATAGTACATCCCACTGCAAGATCACTACGTTCATAAACGAAGTTAATCACACATTTTTACACACATTTAAGAATAGGAGAATACATTAATAACAGGTTACCAGTCAAAAAGTGGCCGCAAATAGTTTTAAATCAATTGGTAATTAATTTCCGAACAAAAATTCGTTTATTTTTTTAAAGCATGTAGTTTTAGCCATATTTAAATAAATAAATGTCAATTTAGAGGTTAGAATAAATATTATATTATTCGTCATTAGCTAATAACTAAATTATTTCAATCGAATGAGAAGGTAAGGGTTAGTCGTTATAACAACTGTTTATTAAAAAATAAATATATTCAAAGTACGAATATTTAAATGACACAAAAATAATTTATAAACACACTACAAAGGCTGCAAAACAAAACTTACAATTGTCAGTAAGGTGAATCAATTACCGACCATCGTCCTATGACTGTCTTTATTCGATGTATATGCTGTTCTGTATGGACAGGCAGCTTAAGTTAATCGTTATGAGAAGGTCAGGAAGTAGTATAAAAAATAATTGCCGAAAATATTAATTTTGGGATCCCAAAAAAGATGACAAATGGGGGGGGGGGGGATCAATTGACCAAGAACCCGTTTATTGATAAATTTGTAATGTTCCACGAAAAGATTCACATTCACTATCTGTCTCTACTTGTATTTCATCAAGGATGAAATACTTAGGATCATATTCAGACTCTGACGATGGTAGCATAATGTCCCTCGAACTTGATGATTTCCTCAAATCCTTAAGTTTGTGTTTAGTAATTTTTTTAAGTGCTCTTACTTTGGCCTTTTGCTCTTTTTTTAATTTTTTCTGGTGAAGCTGTGAGAATTTTCGTAGTTGCTCGCTTACTACCCTTTTTTGAAGTCCTGGGCCCGGCTTTAGGATGAGGTCTGATCATTTCTGGGCTACTAAAAGTGGCAGAAGTGAAAGGCTGGTTATTGTGCTCCATTGATGTTTGTTGTAGCTGATCATTTTGTGAAGTATCTTCATTTACAGGATGTGATCTAATTATTTGAGGTGTGGTAAAAGTAGTAGTAGAAGTAGAAGGTTGGTTTTTGTCCTATATTAGTGTTCGTCATAGTTGTTGATTATGTGAAATCGATCCAGTTGAGGAAGATGGTCTAATTACTTCAGGGGTGGTGAAAGTGAAATAGAAGTGGAGAGTTCGTTATTGTTATCTATTGCTGGTGTTGCAACATCGAACTGAGATAAAGTGGAATTTCCGGATCTTCTCGATCAGTAACATATGCCGACATAAAATCTTCATCGGTAAAAATATTGGAATTGAAAGGCCATATACCCGTAACTCTGAATCCGCTTTCAATATTACGTGGAGTAAACGGGAAAGGGTAAGCTAAGCATCCTCTGACTTCGTATATTGTAATTGCCCCCCTGGGTGGGTCACCATCCAATCATCACAGACAGTATTATAGAAACTCTCGAGAGGGCCAAATACACTCCTATCTAACGCCTGGAGCTTATACGACGTGTATGGTAAGAAGAATTATTCCGTGTTCTTTGGCATACCGTATGACTTCAAGAGTAACGTGGCTATCATGATTGTCCATTATGATTAAACATATATTGTCGGTAGCCTCCTTTACATGTTTTTGAAAAATTTACAAAAATTTGATAAAATTAGAAGCGGTCATCCATCCACTTTCCTAAACTACGCCGGTGGTCCCTGGTGGGCTATTATCAATCATGCGATCTTGCCAAAGTTTTCGAGTAAAAACCATAAAAGGCGGTATATGGTTTCCAATTGCATTGATTGCACAACACTGTTGCTCCACGTTCCCCTGACGTAATTTTACCAACGTGCTTTAAACCTTTGCATGCAATGATTGACATGGCTTATTGAGAGCATTAATAAGCATGGCTTATTGACAGTGGAAAGTCCAGTTTCCTCCACGCTCCAAATTTCTTCTGGTCCAATTCCATGGTTTTCAAGAACTAGTCGCTCTAGAAAGACTAGTTGCTTCCGGAGAGCGTAGTGATAAGGTCTTCATCTCTTCAGAAATCCGTACAACCAGTCGTAACTGGCTTGCTTATGTTTATTCCACAAAGCAGATATTTTTTTACTATTTCTTTCGGCAAACTCGTACTCGTGCCAGTTCTTTTGCTTATTTTCTTGTAAGGCCATGGTGTAATTTGCTGGCAACATCTAAATAATTTTAAACATATTTTCCTCTGCATTTGTAAATATTTGAGCCGTCTTGTAATCAAGAGAGAAGTATATTTCAAAATTTTCGGATCGTTGTCTGCGAACGTATCTTTTTAATGTCATAATATTTATTTGATAACGACTTGTCGTTCCCTTGAGAGACGTACCGTTATTAATGACGCCTAAAACAGCTTCTTTTAACCTCTGGCTGTGGACTGGTGTTCTTTTCTTGGCTCCTACCCTCCCGCTGGGATCATATCTCCCAGATAAGAAGGAATTAAGTCTCCCCCAAGAGGCCATTTTAATATTTTAGTTTATAAAAATATGACAACAAACTAGAACTCACTGCAAACTATGCAAAACTTAAACGTAAAATAAATGATTATGGTGTCAAATAAAAATTATACGAAACACTCACCTAAACAAGTAGTAAATAAAATCAACTTAAATAATTCTGAAAACACTTCTCGGTATGGACAAAATAATTGTAATGAACACGTGCTCTTCGTTGTGTATCCTAACGAAAACTAAATTACATGGGATCTACTGCCATACTAACAGCTACGCTATGATGCCTGTTTTATAATTCTAGGCTGCTTATTTACTGAAATTTTAAAGAGAGATCAAGTCTCCCATATGATCAAGTCTCCCTCTTCTCCCCTAAGGCTCTAGTAATCGAAACTTTATAGTGACCAGTCAATGAAAGGGATAGATTGTATCGATCTTATGCTCATGAGCATCATAAAAAATGGCAAAAGCCGCTTCACATTTATTTATTTAACACCTTTAGAAAGCTGATACCTTTACCTTTAAAACGCATCTTGATTGTTGATACAACACTTGAATAAAAAGTTATCGAATTTTTACCGTCCAGCTGATACAAATTTTATTGAACATTGATTTCGCGCGCGTAACTGACATTCAAAATCAACGTTTGTTTCAAGCGTTGTTTGAAGAACAGTTTATTCTACATAAAAAAATATAATATAAATATTTTGTTTAAAATTATCTCAGCTACATTTATTATTTAAAACAGTTTTTTCTACGGCGTACAGATTCGTGGTAAATCGATTTTTTTGCGTTTTTACCCTCCTAACGACTCAGGGTTTCAGGGGGAAGCCCGGAGGTAAAAGTGGTAAACTTTTTTGCATCTTTTTGGGGTCCCAAAATTAATATTCTCGGCAAAATTCAGCTTGTTCGTATGATTTCTAGAGGTTCGGTAGCATTTCATCTAATGACAAATAATGCAAACATCCAGCGGATGGACTGTATATATAAACTGCAACGGATATCAAAACTGCTAGTATCAGACATATAGTAAACAGCCTTATTTGCCTGACACATGTTTTAATTTTATTAAAAAAATGAGTGAAAAATTTATTAGCTGGATTTATAAATTATGCAAATAATACATTCTAGATTCCCTTGTCAAAAAAATCGAGGGAAGTATTGTACACTGTTTGGGGATCGGCAACCAGAAAAGAAAATTACTCCTTGTCCGAAAAGAAAAATTTATATAGGTACATTTTTTGGTAATTTCTTATATTCTTTTTGGTAAAAATGGAAATCATTGACTATCTGGAAAATATATATTCAGTCTTAAATGGAACAATAAGTATGACAGACGATATGAAGGTATAAAAATTAAAATTGTTGCTCTTCTAATAACTATGTAGCTAAGAAATTATAGATTTGGCAAGAAATTATGAAGAAATTCTTAGAAAACACTATAAATATAGATATTAATTCAATACAGTAATTCAATAAATAACTTTTCAGATTTAATGGTTCTTAATTCATGCCTTCTGGTTGTGGAGAAAATACGGTTTGTTTCTTGATTAGAATGAAAATCTTATCTACTTGCTAAAGTTCACGTTTAGAATCTTTCATTCGTATCGAATTTATTTTTTATTATAACCTTGCAGAATCTAGTATAATATACTTCCTGAGGCCCTTATTTAATATTTACTTTGAGAAATTGTGCATGAACTATATTCAATATTAATGATAAATTAGCACAAATTTTCCCAGCGCAAAGACAGAACATTTAAAAATCCAATAATTGCAAAGCTCATTGATATTCTTTTAGATTGATTGTATTGGTCCTTTTGTTAGTTGATCCCTCAACTGGCTGCTAAATCCGCTAATTAACATTTGGTCTCTAGGTTTATTCCAATTTATCTTTCGAGGTAAAAGTAATGGGAGTTTGTTCAATATTTTGAAATAATTCCAAAACTACCATCGACAAGTATTATATTGAGTTTTCTAGAACAAGAAATGATAATTATTTTTTAACTTGAACAAAAAGTCCGTTAGCAACTTGTCAAATATGGTAATCGTTCCCTTACGTATTTTACATCTTAAAAAAATATCGTGTTTTTATTTATAGGTATAAATGGCACCAGAAAGAGCGTTAACTCCACAAGACGAGAGCAGATTATCTCCAAAGATGTCAGTTCCGGCGAGCCCGATAGCCGGAACTCCGATTCGAGATGCACAGTCTCCCATATCTATGCTGTTGGCTGTTGCGCAAAGTCAGAGTAGAGCCGACGATGACCTTACTAATTTAAATTGGTTACATGAACGTGATATTTTAAAAGGTTTGTATAATTAGAGACTGAATAGTTTTCCATTCTATTTAGACTTTTTTATTTGACTTATTTGAAATAATAAGGATTAAAGTATATCCACATATAAGCGGGATATAATATAAAACTTTCTTTATTTCTATGCAACATTCAAATTATTTATTTTCAGGAAGAGAAGCTAGACAAACAGTCATTTTTAGCATTTTTCATTAAATGGTACAAAAAGTTTAATTTTAGAATCGTGTATATCATCTTCCGATAACTTATCTCAACAGTTTTATGGCATCATATTTTATTTGTGGAAATTGTGTTAGTTAAACTGTGACACTATATCATAATGATTTTCCTAATAGTAACAGTCCCTAATAATAGTAAAAACAACACTCCAAAACCAATATCAAACAAACGCCCATGGATAGTCAACCAATATAATTATACATATTTATATTCGATTCATATCCAAAGGAATTGTAGAACACTTAAATAATTTTTGTGCAGAGCTTACCAACTCGTTAAAAACAAGAGAGCTCTTAAAAAAATAAGATTATCATGTGTGAGTACAAAAACAAAAAACTGGGCGGGATATAAAGACAACTATAACGCATATAAACTCTTTGACAACACAGATAAAGTTGTGGAAGTGTGTTAAACCATAAATTATTTATCTATGGTCATAACTATTGTCTTATTCTTCTTCTTTGTATGTAGACATGATTGTATGTTTTTCAATGTGCCTCCAGTAAGTTGTTGTTCCATCGTTTTCGTGGCCTTCCTACTGATCGTCTTCCTATTGGGGAACCGTCGCATGCCGTCTTTACTACTCTATTTGTTGTCATTCGACTTATATGATCGTTCCATTCTACTCTTCTATTTCTTACCCAGTCCTTGATGTTCTCCATCTTGCATCTACGTCTTATATACGTACTTCTAGCTCTGTCTCATAGTGTTTAACCATAAATTTTCATCTCTGCTGTTTCTAACATCCTTTTTGTCCTCTCTCTATCAGGTCGTGTTTCTGCCGCGTATGTCATTATTTGTCTGATGGCTTAAATTCTGCCTTGCATTTCTTTCCAGATATTTTTATTTCTCCATATTGTTTCATTCAGGCAACCTGCGGCTCTGTTTGCTTTATTCAATTGATCTTCCACTTCTGTTTTAAGCTTTCTGTAGCTAGATAATATGATGCCTAGATATTTAAACTCCATCATTTGTTATATTATCTGTCTGAGGCAGCCTTGTAACTGGCTACCTACATAAGATAGTTGGAAATCTTTGGATTCCAAGCCTTACTTCAAAGGACTTGTGAATGGATGTATCTCCATAGGTTTGGTTCTTCAGTGACCGTTGAAGGATAAGGATTCTTAATATGAGCAAATATAGCTCCAGAGAAATAAAATCACCTTTGAGTTTATCGATTTATAATTAAATCTTTTAAGAGTAAAGAGGCCCAACACGGCCGTAACTTACTATACAATATCAAATGTACTCTTTCTTTATAACACGTAAAAGAAAACACCGGTATGAGAGATTGCCCGACTTCGACGGAGAGAAGTATTTAATACGTGAATTGAGTTTTTAACTACTCAATGCCTCGATGGCGATGTGTGAACTTGAACTGATAAGAACTATATGATGCGTGAACGGGAAGATTACCCCTATTTTATTTAGGTGTAAAAAATATTTAACAGGGTCAGACGCCAGTCAGTCGGGTGTCGCGAACAAACTTGATCAAGTGACTGTTCTAGTTATTTTACACTAAGAAAAGTCTAAAGAATTACATTTTTATTTTATATTTTAAAACAATATGTTCATTTCTGGAACACTGACCTTCCAGTTCCCATTTACTTCTTAGTAAATTTGCATGTTAAATTTTCTGGCGGTTATATTAAATTGGTGCAGCATACGTTATAAATCATCTTTACTTTAAGAGTATTGCGTCGTCTACATAACAGATTATATAAGTTGTTTTTCTCAAATTTGGCAGCCTTTTTTTAGTTGTTACTTTTTTTTATTATGTCATCCATAATTAGGTTGAACAATAGATGACTCAGGGAATCTCACTGTCTTATTCCATTGCCAGCTCCAATAGGGTCAGTTAGTTCTTCTACTTTTACTTTTATTGTGTTGGATATTGTTGGATATTGTTTTGGATATATTTTCGGCAGCGTTCGCTACCAAGGCTGGCCCTCTGGCAGGTATACGATTTACCAAATTACCTTCCTTGGGGCGCTGGCGAACAGTTTCACAGTTGATTCAAACATTATGAACATTTTCAAGTTGGGATTGTAAGCTTCTGGTAGTTACAAATCGTTGTCTTAAGGTGTGAAGTCATCAAAAACGGTCTTGGATAGGCGTTGTTGCACGATGTGGACCTTGTCCTGGATGCCTAGAGTGACTACCTCTCTGTACCGTTCTGTCATTCGTGAGACTGATACATGGTGTACGCCGAACCCTTCCTCTAAACGTCTGTAACTCCAACCTTCTTGTGCAAAAGGACTATTTGAGCACACTCTTCATTAGTCAAATTTCTCGATTTATGTTGCATTTTGATTAAAACAATAGCAAAATGTTAGCAACAAACAGCAGTAGTTCATGGCCTGGAATCTTATATGAATAACCTTGAACATTTCCCCCATCACTTTGACTCCAGTCGGTTAATAAAGAGAGATGACAGCCTATCTCGCTCACGAAGACTTTAACCAATCATTTTATTTTAACACCATCTCTGAATGTCACAAATAAAATAATCAAAGGAAGCTTAATTCCGACATGTCAATTCCGTCAAAAGTAATGACAAGTTGATGATTTGTCATCGAGTTAGAAGTTCGGTGGAATCTATTTGTATATTTTCGAGTTTCGTCCATTTTCGTCTTCCACGTGCTTTGGCTTGTTTACAGTTTTCATTTTTAATTTAATTATCTTTAACTTTCGTTTGTATTTAGTCTTAGTAATTTAAGTTGGTTCCTTAGTTTTTAAAGTTTAGTTAGTTGATACCTTAGTTTTCATTTTTAATTTAATTATCTTTAACTTTCGTTTGTAATTTAATCTTGATAATTTTAATTTAAGTTGGTTCCTTAGTTTTTTAAGTTCGGTTAGTTGATTCTTTAGTTTTTTCAGTTTAGTTTTATTTGATTCCTTAGTTTTTAAAGTTTAGTTATAGTTCCTATAAATAAAGATTTTCGTCTCCCTACAAAACTTGTGAAAAAGCAGATAGGTATTGTCACATCACTCACGATATGTGAGATTATTCCATTGGAAAATAATAAAATGTTTTGAATTTCCCACTAAATTTTAATTAGTACCGAAATGACCCACCAGAGGCGCTAAAGGGATAAAATTAATAATTAACCATTTGAATTTCCCGCCGAATGGTGATTAGTATTGACTCCACTCACCAGTGGTGCTAATAAACCAGATTTATATATAGAGTTGCCTATCTATCTGTATATACTATATATTATTTATCTATGGCAGTAGTTTACACAATGACTTAAAAATGACACTAACCTCTTATTGACATTAACAAATTTACAATATCTTTATTGTAATCGCCTTTTTTTGTTTTTGTAGATGGTGCGTTAATTTCTTGGAGCAGTGTGAAAAAAGAGATTTTTATATCGATGCATATAAAAACTGCACAAAAGATAAAATGTCTTAAGTGTTAAAACTAGATGCAATATCATATTGTGGATTTTTAACGAAAATGTTTACATTAATAAATATTTTGTATTTCACACCACATACATTTTTCTATAAGGAAATCATTGCTTCGCATTATTTATAACTTAAAGATAAGCAAAACACATTTTTTATTAAAAGCGAATATTTTATTTAAAATCCATAGTACATGGAAAATATTCATACTTGAAATTATGTCTACTAAAGTTTAGGTATATTTTGAATTATTTATTAGTCCCTTTTGCGAGTAATTGTAAAGTTATTCCTTAGATTATATTTTTCATTATTACAGTTTACGACGTTACCGGATACTCATTTATCCTAGATATTTTAAAATTGGGAAATTCACATTTAGTTATATACTTTATTTGAAAATTATTGATAGTATAATTTTTATAACACAGCTTATTTGCATAATCTTGTATAAAGACCGTTGTAATGTTCTTCCATAAAGACTGTGCTTTCATTTATTTCCAAACGGAAAATAGTGCTTACATTGTGCCTATATTGGTATGACCCCATAATTCGAGTGGAATTATTTTCTGGATTTTTAAGTTGGAAAATAAAATTAGAATTTGTGTTCCGTACTTATCGTAATTTTATGACATTACTTGGTGATTTATCATTGTGGAGAATTTTAAAGAAGAGTTATTTAAAATCGTTTTATTCTCTATAATATTCCCTAACAGCAACCGTTTAAAATGAATAATTTAAAAATATATATTTTTCAGGTATGAATATTAATCCCTCGCCATCGAATAGCATCAACTCAACGCCAATCAAGGTGTATAATCAGGAAGTAATAATCGACCATTCAACACCCACTAGTACGGACGAATCAGTGGAATCTTCCGATAGCTATAATATGCCAAATCCTCCGCTGATACTGTCCCCGCCCAGGAACAAGCATCCCAATAACGTTCCCTATAATCCTACGATACATGCGAACCATAAACCACCCTATTCATTTTCCTGTTTAATATTTATGGCTATCGAAAACTCACATCAGAAAGCATTGCCCGTAAAGGAGATCTACGCATGGATTTTAGACAATTTTCCTTACTTCAAGAACGCACCAACTGGTTGGAAGAACAGCGTGAGGCATAATTTGTCTTTAAACAAATGTTTTCAGAAAGTCGAAAAAGCAGCAGTAAGTATTTATATCTTCATGGGTCTTCAAAGACAAAACTTTATATTGCTTGCTTGAAGAATTGAGTTATCTTTTATTAAATTTTGCTCTTAACCTTTTATAAATCATTTTCATCTGTAACATTGGATTTTGACTATATGTGGTAAAAGGCGTAATTTCATTTACCACATTTATTTATAAGCTATTACATATCTTTACAAATTAAAGCTTTTCAAATGAGCTAGCACTCATATCAAATTATCACAGAGGATTAATTTTTATTTTCTTGTAAGTTCACTACGTGTGTTTTCGCCTGATAGATTAAACTTCTTCATTTTTCGTTTTATCCACTATTACTTTCCTCAGATTTTCTTTTTTTAATTCATGTAGTTAAGAGTCACTTAACTTTCATTCTCATTAAAATCAAATTTCAATTTACAACCATAATAGTTGTATCAGTTTGTCCCACACTGATAGATTGGTTTATACTGATTAATCGGTCTTGGTTTGACATTCAGATTTACATTTTCCATAACTTTTTTTTCTATATACCTTTTCTCTCATAGAGATGTGAGAAAAGGTATACTCGCATCTTACAAATATATCTATACATCTATACTCACAAAAGCTTTTCTCACATCTAATTCCACTAGGAAACTAAGTTCCTGTAGCTGGCTGTATACCATATATCACAAAAAATTTATCTCAAATCCTTTATAAAAGGTATATAAAAAAATGCCCAAACGGGCTATCACAAATATGTTACAAAACGTTTTCGGATTATTAAATCCATCATCAGTGTAAACGAGGTATATATGCTATGAGCCACCAAAATATATGGGTCAAAACCCTTTAAATGATATTAATTTACAGTTGCTTTACATTATATGTGGTTACAAATTATGATGTTTAAGTTACCGTTGGAATTGGTAACATGGCGACGTATGACCCTACATAGGTAAAATGGTCCTGAATCAGGACCATTTTAGAATAGCATTGCCCTATCTTAGCCCTACTGTACTCTTAGGATGAATTTTACTATAGTTCCAACACGATGGAACGATGCCATTAAGAGATTCAAAACAAACTGGATGCATACAGCAGAGTGGCAGCACTGGAAATGCCTGAGGGAGGCTTATATTCAGTGGTGAACACTACAGGTTTCGTGATGATGATGATTCCTAAAATATATAATAGTTAATGTAAAAATTCCACAACAAAGTATGTTAACATGTCACAGATGATGTAGCAAAAGGCTGAAGAGTTGATAGTTAATGCTTTGAAACTTCGTTTGCTATTAACCACCGATGTCCTAGCATGCATAACGGCGCCAATGATCTGGTATGTAAATGTCGCATGGCATCTTGACAATACAGTTTCAGTATACCCATGAAATTTGTCATTATTATATGCATCAACATTGCAAATTTTGGTTTCCGACATCAATTGGAAGCTGTATTGAAAATCTGATCATAGTTTTTCACTTTCAATGGATGAAATATCATTTGAGTGACTGAGATTATTGCACGATTTTGCTTGGAAAAGGAGTATTAGATGATAAATAAAAGCTTTTTCAGAGATTTAAGCTAAATTCGTTTTCATGATACACGTGTTACTATTGAAAATTAGTATATCAAAACTTGCATATAAATTCTTAACCAAATTTAATCTGAATGTTAAATAAAATTATTGTTTCTATAATTATTTCAGGTCTAGTTTCCTACCAGTTTAACATATTAGCACAATGATACCAAATGTGGGTCAAGGCTAAGTCTCTTTCAAATTCAATGTTTACGTTTTTGACATTTTATTTGTTTTCAGTTTGTTTGTAGTATCAATGCTATTTTTGATTTCAAGGACTGCTCTGATATTTATTGTTCACATATGTATTTTTAGTGCCTTAGGCTTAAAATAAAATATACATAAGTCTCATCAGAGAATAGTTAGATTTCTTTGCATTCTATTAAGATTTTATATAGGAATTACCTGATTGTAATTGATATAACTATTACTTCTTCAATCATATTTATTATCAAGATCAAATTTTTACTTGACCGAAATTTCATTGGATAAAAGATACAACAGATTGATTATACATTCCTATGTAAAATTGTTCTCCAAATATAATATTTTAAATAAAATTTAATTCCATCAGTATTTTCTTCAAATTTTTATCCATTTGAAAAATATTTTTGTTTTCTTTTTTAAAATTTGTTGAATATTATATACTCTGAACAGCTTATATTTAAAATAAACGCAACGAACATGCTAAGTACTTAAAATCGTGTGACTTATAGTGCTTGAGGCTTCAAAGAACTAAGTTTTTTGGTTTTCAACTGCTTATAAGTACCCTTTCAGACAAAGCGACTGGTGTTGGTTGGACAGCGGTGTTCAATTGCAGTAAAGCATTGTTTTAAATAAAGGATTACAGACGAGCAACTTTTAGTGTCTGGCTGCTTTTAGTAGCTCAGTAGTCGCCGATGTGTGTCTTGCTTTCGCCACCAGGCTGGCCACCGGACACCGTTTTGTTTTTAGCGGAGTATTGTTTTGAACCGAAGCGTTTACACGAGCCACTTCTGGTGTTTTTTTTTTAGTTTTTGTGTTTCACTTAACTACTGTTAAGAAACCACTTCTTTGAGATTATAAATTAGAGATAGATACAATATTATTTTTTTATTAAAACACATTGGTTTCGTCATTGCTATCTATTTCTTCTGTTTCATCAACTTGGTTGTAGTCTTGTTCAATGTTACTGGTACTGTTTTCAATAATACTGAGATAAAATTGCTGTTTTATGGGAGGAATATATGGCAAAAGTTTCTTTATGTCCTGAATTTTTTTGATGTTAAGTACTATTGGTCCTCCATATATTTTTTTAAGGATTTAGTTGTTAATACGTTGTCACCAAACTTTACACCTCTCTTACCAACATTTACTTCATCAAACGCTCCATTTAGGGTGTGTTTAATGAAAATGGAATTTGGGTGTTCGCTATCGAACCGAAAGCAGCGCACGTCTGTAAAGTAGAGTGGTTGTTTCTCGGTGGTAAATGTTTTTTTTGTTAGAACCATTTCATCAAAACTATAAAAATCTTCTTATGACATTTCAACTACTGCAAATGGATCTTTTCTATTTGATTTTCTCACAATTTCAAACCATTCTTCTGGAGAAAACATTTGCTTAACATATTTTTTATGTTTTTCTATTTAAGCAAAATCTCTATCTGAAGGCAAATGGGTGTGCACAGATACTAGAAAACGATGTTCTATGGTTTTGTAATTTTTTCCCTAACTAGTTGCAGCCATAATTATTATAATAATTATTAGCCAATTCTTGTTTTGGCCCCCGCAATTGTCAGTAAAGACTACAAGATTTTCAGATCTTGATGGCCTATGGGTTGTATACTTTAGGAGTACACTAGCAATTTCGGAACTTCCTCTTTTTGCAACTGACTCTGTCCACATAAACATATGTCCTTGCCCAGATACACAATCATGTACGCCAAGATTATAGGTCCATGCTTTCCTAAGTTAAAATGCTACGCCAACAGTCAATGAAGGTGTGGGTAAGGTTTGTTGTAAGTCGAATGAAATTATGTCAGTGTTGTGAGTTTCTTCATTTTTCTTAATTTCGTCTTTAAGGTCTTGCTGCATTGCCTGTGCACGACTTTGGTGTAACCGTAGTTTTACCTGGAGATTTTTGGCCTCAGATTCATTATTATCGGTATTAGAACTTATCATAACATTTAGTGAATCACAGGTTGAACACGTATCGCTTTTGGGCATCTTAAACCCTATGTTGTATTCTAAGTTAAAAATTCTTCGGTACCTATCCTCTTTAACTGGAATAATACTACGCTCTTTACACCAAGCAATGTGGTAATCCTTATACAGGCTTGAAATACTAACATCATGATTTATATACACTCTGTTAGGATTAGCGATTCTACTATAATGGCTAACATATTTAGGGATACTTCTAATGTGGTCGTGAACTGATTGTACCATTTCATGATTTGTCAGCAACAAGGTCGATATAGCCTGGTGGCGACATCTATTGCCCAATAGTAGTAAAACTTCGCTGGTGGCTTAAGACCATTTTACAGAGCCCGTTTTAATGAAATCATCAAATTTCAAAAAATGTGGCTTAGGTCCCTTATTGCCCCGAGCTCTTCAAATAACATGAATGTATGTACTTTTTATTAATGAAATAATACATATAGAAAAAATTGTATAACATACAAGAAATGTGAACACTTTATTTACTCTCATAGCATTTATTGCAACATATTTGACATATTGTAATTATATGTTCACCACAAATAAGTTTTGTACAATCTGCTTACCTTGAAGTGGTTTTTCTATTTTTACTTCGAGGACAGTAAAAATATTTGACTCTATCTTTAGTTTCTGCACGTGCTACTAAAGTTTCTTCATCAGGAAGACCTGTTTGGCGCCTTATTTGAAGTCGTAATAATATTGGCAATGTTGTTATTAATGCACGACTTATCAGGTGGGGTCTGATGAGATCTGTACTAATTTCTCTTAGATATTTACTGCGTTCTAATTTAGTATTAGTATTGTTATAATAAATTACCCGACTATTTATTCCTGCAATATTCATCAATGAAAAAAAGACTATAAGTGGCCATCGGTAACTTATTCGAGAAACGGAGTAATTACATTTCATCTGGTCCACAACATCCACTGCTCCTTTTGTCGTATTGTAGAAGGTTATAACCTGCGGCCTAAAGTTTTCACCCGTTTCTTGTGTCATCAAGTGTATCATACGTTTAACCACATCGCTAGGATTATTATCTATCTCAAAGGGGCCTTCTGGCAGCTTTCCAGCATATATTTCCAACTTTGCTGTATAAAAAGTTTGCGAATCAACCAGTGCGAACATTTTTTTATCCCATATTTTGCCGGCTTATTAGGTATATATTGACGAATTTACATTTTCCCCGAAAACCTTCAAGCATCTTATCAATGCAGCAATACATTTCAACTGTATAGCACGCC